CATATATGTATATCTGCGGCACTTCTTACTAGCTGTAATGTGAGATTTTCTTTCCTCTATTTGTCCCCAGTGTACCTTCTTTCTGGCTTCAGAGGTTGGTCCTAATCTTCTTTTCTTTGGGCCCTAACCTTGATATATTAGGTCTTAGGCGGCAAGCATTCACTAACTTCTCTGTCTGTTTCATGACATAACAATTACCCCTGTACCTCGTTCTAGTTGTTCCCTTTCTAGACCTAAACACTTTATCTTCCAATGCTCCATTTGTGTGCACAAAATTAGCTCATCTCTGTCTTTAGTCTGTCACCTCTTCACTTAAATCTTACAATTCTGAATTCATGTTTTTAGACCAAATGGCTTTCCTAGGCTTTTGGTCAGGTGATTTAAAAGTTTGTTTCTTTTCTTTGGTGAAGACTTGATGTAAGAATTGATTTACTTACTTTTCCATGGGATTTACTTACCTTCCATAGGCAGAAGATGACTGAGGATGAATGGAAAGCTTGTGTGCACATGATCAGAATAGAAAACTTGCATTCTTTCCCTGCCAAACTCCGTTGAGCTACAGCTCTTTGCAGAATTTTGAGTGCGTTTTTGGCAGAAGGGATTTCTAGCTGAGAGGAATCTGTAGGTACGGGGATTAGCCTAGGATTCATGGAATCTGTGGCTTTGGGAGTACGCATGGATATGCTCATGGTTACTTGTATAATACTTAGCTTGCAGGCATCATAGATTCATTTGGGAGGACATGAACCTCTTCTCAAAAAAATAACAGCATAGGGCTGGGGATTTAGCTCAGTGGTTCTGCCTCCTGCCTTGCAAGTGCAAGGACCCGAGTTTGATCCCTGGTACCAAAAAAACAAACAACAATTGCATAATTTCCTCTTTTTTGTGCTCTGAATACCTATCATGCCACATCCTAATTGACAAAGTGTGAAATTATAAGAACTTCTTTAATGTACTGCTCTCCCTGAGACTCTCTCCTATGACCCACCCTATACATAATAATGTCACTGTCATGGAACTTACCGATTTCTGTGCATACTTGGTTTGTGATCAGTGGCACCGGGAAAGACAGTAAATATGTTGTGGCTCAAAAGCTCTTGTTGGGATATTAAACCCACCTTTTTGAAGTTTGTTATCAACTTCTATAGTGCGTATTTCCTTTTTTTCAAGGGACTTTATGACATTCTCTCTGCACCTACTGGATCGCATTTGCAAAGCAGCATCATGACAAATAATCTTACTGGATGATGCTTTCTAAATAAATATGCTAGATGCTGTTGTCATTGATTGATCTGCGGGATTGATAAAGAACAGGGAGGTTGGACTTTTAACTGGAACTCCAACTTCCTTAGTATACATCCAGATGCCACAATGAGACTTGATTAAAAGGAAATGGCTTCCCACTGGTAATAGAAGAGCACAAAGTGGGAGAAGAGAATAGCTCTTAATGCATATGGGACACACTTGGAAAGATTCCCGTCCCCAGATGCACCCTGAGACCTTCATATTTAGTTCACTGGCTTGGATCCATTTGCCCACTGTCTAGTGCAATTCGTCACTTCTGAATACAGATTGCAGTGTATTCTGCAGGTCACTTCAATCAAACCACATTTTATCAAGCTGTGTGTAAAGGAATCCAAAAGATCAAGTCAGAGTCCATTAAGCTACTTTGCAAAGAATGGGACTGGGAGAATATATGTGACAAAAAAGGTTATTCCCCAGATGTCTCCAAATAAGGTCCATCTTTGAGGATCGACCCCATCCCCAAAACTTTTAGGAAGATTATATTCCCAGCCGATGTCTGCTTTAGTGCTTGGAGCTGACCTTGGCTGAAGATGGAAAATGACTTCTAAGAGACTCGAGTGGCACAAAACACGAAGAATCACTTTTAGGATAATTAAAACTATTTTGAATTTTTTATTTTTCTAATATAATTTTAGATAAATGAAAGACATTCACAAAGAATAATAGGCATACATACATAATTTCCTTCTTTCATTCTAGTTTACATGCTGTTGCTTTTAGAGAGTGAAATTTTGTGTCATTTCACAGGCATGGAGCCCTGCCCCACTTTACAGAAAGAACACTCAGCCCAGCTTTCTTCAGCTCTAACCTCTGCTGTGGTTGCCATGCTCACTGAAAAAATTAGAAAAATTGCCAAAATAATACTTTGAGTTAGTAACATTGAGAACTGTTTCCTGGCCTCCTCAGGAGGAACCTCCATTTTGCACAGTCCCCCCTGGAAGCCAGCAATACTCTCCTGTAAGTCAACCGAGCCCTGGAAATGGTGCAGACCCTGTTAGTAGACCTGTTCTTACTGCACACGTTCATCTGGAAGGTAAACTTGTAAATGCAGGTCATTTACTACCACAGGTGTGCTCTTTATCACCTCCTGCTAGTCTTTGCTCAGTGGGAGATAAAAACCAACTTTTCACTGTGATTCTCCTGTTTCAGTGATGATGAGTTTAAATACCACTGTGTGACAAATGCACTTTAGAGTTTCCAACATCACCATGCAGAGTAAGCGTAGTGCAGGCACAGAGCCATGGGGCCACATGAGAATGCCACATTTATACTTGGTGTTGGCTTATTCATAAGTCTAATTGCACTGGGGGCACATGTAAGAATAGGTAAACTGTAGGTCATGCCCAGGTGGGAATTCAGGGCTTTATTCACATTAAAAAAGCCAATTTCTCTGGCTTTTGGCTGCGTGGTATCTCCCTGGCTTTTGGCTGGGTTGTGTCTCCCTGTGTTGATAGGTTGGCTCCCAGGAAGTCTACCTGGTGAATGACTTAGCAACACTCTCTAAATTTCCATGTTCCTGGACGTGGCCACACTGCTTTCTTTTGATGTGACTTAACAACCAGAAGGCTAGTCTCCTACTGGCCCCACTGACCTTGACCTTGACTTGGATTTTGAAGTACTCTGCAGATAGGAGTCAATGGCACCTCACAACTGTCATGTAATGTAGGCAAAACGGCTCCATGTTAAACATCAGGCAAAGGGGGATAGAACTTCAAATTGGCCAGGACTCTTAACATGTCTGGAAGACAGAAAGAGTTGGTATTCTATCAGCTGACTTTTGGGGTCCATTTTTCACCAAAAGATTATTTTAGAAACGTACCCAATGATTTTTAGCCCAAATCAATTATGGACACAGTGGTTGGTTTCTTACCTATTTCAGGATCAGATGGTTCTCCTGGGAAAAGCAATTTAGGACCTATTATTGGCTGGCTGATGCCAATTCACTTTAACAACTGATGCCTTGTTTTTTGAAATTTCTTGATGGGATGGAGAAAGGAAAAGAGAAATGTTATGAGGTTCAAATTCAGTGCTAATTGTTTGAAGGCATGAGATGTACAGGGACCATGAACATTTACACCATAAAAGGAGGTGATGGTATGGTAGGGGGAGAAAGAAAAGAGTGGCAAAGTACAGAACCTATCATAGAAAGAAATAGGAGTTCTTCCTGACACTTCCTGAACACGTCATTTTTGTGTGGGCTCCCTGAAAGTACTCTCTAGAGTTTGTGTCTGTGCTGAGCTCTCAGCCTGCTTGACAGCTACTTGACAGATGTTCAACAGTGACTTTAAGATCCATTCTTTGGCTCATGCCAGTAATTTCTCTGAAGTCCTGCTCCTATTAGTAGGGTGTTCTTATTTGTCAATGAAGTACCACAGGACAATTTCCACCAAGAGCTCCCTGACCCTTGTTCCTAGCTCTTCATTAAAAACTTTCACACTAAGTCTCTCTCTTTTTAAAAGCAGTTGGTTGAAGGTAAGAAGGAGAAATATATTCTTAAATACTAAGATATGCCTGAGTGTTATTCAACAGTAAAATCACTTCTATGTCCTGGACCTCTGTGGCATATATAGTTTGAGAACACAAAATGACACTAACTTTCATTCTCCCCAGGTTCCCTACTCTTAGCTTCTCAAAAGAACACAGATGCTTGCTTCTACAGAGAATGTTTCTGGCACACAAACCCTAAATAAGCCATCAATGTTCACTGAAATAAAACATCCTTTTTTTTTTTTTTCTTTAAGAGGCCTCCACTGGCCCATTTGAGCTTGGTTGATAATTTATCACTGGGATACAAGCTGTTGAGATTTGGGGGGAGCTGAGTGACAGAGTTGGGTCACATCATGTGGTGATTCAAGTTTCCTTGTGCTAAGCTGTCAAGGAGGGAATCGGAAAAATGGGTCACTGCCTCTTCTTCACATAATCAAATTATTTATCATTTAGAGTGTACTCTATATGGTCTCAGTAATCAGATGTGGGAAGGTAGAGCCAATGGTTCTCAAAAGAGGGCAAGATTTCCAGCACTCACTTGGCAGTTAGGTTAGTTACTGCCTTACCCCACTTTCTGTGCTTTGTCTCGTGGCCACACTATAACCCCTTCGGAGGAAGAAACTGTCATGTAGCTGTCTTTCTGTCTTAACTGATGGTGATGTGACAGCAGCACTAACCCCTCTAGGCACTCAGTGCCCTGGGGGGTGAACATTTGGTGAGAGAAAGGTTGAATCTTATTTTTCAGCTTTTATGGCAGGAAGAAGAAAAGAAGAGAAGGAAGAGAAAGAAAATGTGAGAACATTTCCCTATCAGGGCTTGCTTTTGATAGCTATAATCACCTAATCATTTTGGAAAGAAAGGAAAAGAGCAGAGGTAATGCATAAAAAATATAGCTATCATGGGAAATGCAAGAAATAATAAATTTCCATCTGGCGTTATCTGTTAAATACAAAAGTAATACTGTAAAGTAGGTTTAAAAATACTAGAAATTCATAATCTTCATTATAATGCTTAAAATTTGTTTTTTCAATCTGACAATACATAAAAGAACCCTGAACGGTGGTTGCCTTGGTGAAATGAAACAGCTTTTGCTTTCAATATGTCATTTGTAAATATGATATTGTTCTGGTATTTCATCACATTGAATAAGTTTTCACTTTATTTATTTATTTATTTATTTTGGTACCCGGGATTGAACTCCTGTCCTTGCACTTGCAAGGCAGGCCACCGAACCGCTGAGCTAAATCCCCGGCCCTTAATTTTTTACTTTAAATGCAGTTCTTGGAAGAATGATCAAAATTTTTTAAGATTAAAGGTGTTCGTGAGAGTGTCGATGGTGAACCAGCTATTGGAAAAGGGTGTCAGGATTTTCTTTTGTCCTGTTACTTTGACTTGAAGGGGAATGAACTGGTCCATTTTCCCCTTTGGAACATATCAGGTATGGGTGCACTGGACCTTTGTGGATCTGGATAAGGTTTTCCAGTACCAAGACACTGAGATCTTCCAATAAATTAGAAGTACAGAAAATCCTGAAAAGTATGTATATGTAACCTTAACACACCAGAATCTCCATGTTATTGCGCCAGGCCATCAGAAAAATAGCATCCATAATTCATTAACCTCATCTCACCCCTTCTAAGAAGAGAAAGAACAGTCATACAGAATTCCTCAACATGTTGGGAGTCTACAAAGTTTTTAAAAAGTTTTTAAGTATAAGAGGTCTAAAGTACAGTGATCATAAATAGTAGTCATTGTAGAGATAACTTTTGTGTAATTGTTTTTGAAAATGGATGAATTAAATTCTTTTTTGGATAGTCCAGTAAGAAGTGTTGTCTTTATTTGTTTACACAAATTTGATTATTTTAAAATAAGAACAACAAGTTCTTTGTCAGAACAAATTGCCCAAGATACCTTATTAAGCTAAGAGGTGTGATTGATTAGAATGTCCATTCTGTGAGAAGCAACAATTATCAGGTTTGTGATGAACTTGAGATTCAAATGTGTCTGTCACAGAAGACCTCTGAATTATGGCAGTGCATCTATTTTGGATGGAGGACATGTGGGGCAGCTGATTTAAAATATGGCAGCGTCCCCCATATGATTCCAGACTAACACCCATGATAACTTGGTTTTACTGTATTGTGACACTTAGAGGACTCTCTCTGCTAGGATTTTATCCCAGGGGCATAAAAACTTCATATTTAAAGCAAAATAACAAGCACAACCTAACTTGTACCTACACTAGGTAGTGTCCATACATTTGCTACAACTATAAAAGAAACAGAGGAAAACACATTAAACCGTCTGGCTCTAATTCTCTATTGAGGTGCATATACATATATATATGTAATGTCATCTGGTGTACCGCAGATAAAATGGAGGAAAAATGCTTTGTAACAGTTGGTCACCACAGCATGGTAGCTGATAGTTACAGATATTGAATAGATCTAAGACTATACATATGGAACAATATTGTAGAATTTGGTGAAAAAAGGAAAACCAATGACCCCAATATATATTACTTCCCCCGGTCCTTTAATGATTCTCTCCAGCTGTGTTGGTCACGTTGCTGTGACAGGTGTCAGTACACACTCTTCCTTCAACAGCTGGTGTCAGGCCCTGCTTGAGGTCTTTTTTGCAAATCAGTGAATAGTTTCTCCCTACCCCTTTCTTCTCTTTTCCAACTTAGAGGACACCAAAAGAAATATTCTATGAACATAAACTGGTTACTACAGCAGCCCATTAAAAGTTGACTCTATGCAGAAGGAAGAGAATGTTGGAGGCTGTATGGATGGATGTGCTTCAGTTTTTCTCGAGAAAAAATATCCACGATCTAAGGGCTCTTAAAAATGTAGAAAACTTGCCCTGTTACCACGGGTTTTCGAACATCTCTAAACACGCACAAATGAGACAGATATTACCTACAAATTTCAACCATCGCTTAGACTCTAAAAGCATGTTTTGTATTATTTTGCTTTGATACAGAAGGGGGGGACCTCAGCTATAAAGAAATATTAAAAAGTTTTTTTTTTTTTTTTTTTTTTTTTTGTGGTGATCAGTCTCAGGAATATTCTGGTGCTTGCCTTCCCCAGCTTGTGCTGATATTTTAAGGATGTGCTCAGGAGTATGAAGCAGGGTGTTCTTGTTCCTTTTCCCTCCTCCCTGGAACCCCCTCCCTATCCCACAGCCAAACAGCCACCCCTCAAATGAGCCATTCCTTTTTGCTTTCATCAATGGTCTCTGTGAAGTTGGGGTCGTTGTTCATGATGGCGGCGTCTGCGCTCTCGGCTGACTCGGCGCCCTTGGCCTCATTGGTGTGGTAGGTGCCCTTGTGACGAAACATGTACCGGATGAGGAAGACCAAGGTGCACAGGATGGTGAAGATTACCACAGCGATGACCCCTGGGCACAGGGAGAGGAATCAGGGTTAGACAGATCTTGTACAGGTCCCACATGGCACTTCCGCCATAAGACCACAGCGCCCCACACAGGGTCCTCTCTCACAGGAAACAGCGGCAACCACCAAGACAATGGAGATTGAAGGGAGGCTTCTGCTTCCAGCCACAAACAGGTAACAGGACCCATGGGAGCAGTTTGTCTTCCTGCCAAAGGGAACTAAAATACTGGACAAAATGTGTAAAATGTCAGCTTTCAGACCTCGGAAAACAGGTAGAACAGACACATGGCACCTGAGAAAAGAGGGCGAATAAGAGGAACGGTAACTTTCCATACTTTGCTAACTGGCAGCAATTTCTGGAGAGTAGTGTAAGGAGGGATAGTACACACTAAAAAATACAGTGAGTGGTTTCCCTAGGCCAGAAGGGGGAGGAGGAAGAAGGGGTGGAGAAAGAGGAAGAGGAGGGGGGATTAATGGGGGGGAGAGCACTGTAAATAGAAAGAACTTCAATAATCTGTCCCTTTGAATCTATGACTGAATGCTAATACGTGCATGTACAGGATGAAATTCCACAGGGCCAGGCAAAGAATAATGACATAGCAGTGACAAGAACATTTCCAGAGCTCACACAGAGCTGGGAGATGTTGAATTCTAACCAACCACAATGATGAGACCTCACTGAATGGTTTGCTTAAGTAGATCAAGAGTAAAGGCTACTCAAGATTTACCCTTAAGTAGCTTTAAAACAAGACTAAAATTATCAAGCTGCAAGTGACTTAATTGCTTGCCAGAAAAAAAATCTCAGTACTCATTAAAGAAAGACCATAAAACCTCCAGACTCAGTGGGAAATTAATAATGTCTATCATAAAAAGAAAATATCACCACATATGCAATAAGTAGGAAACTGTCATCCAACCAGGAGAAAAATTGGTTAATTATAAGGATATTCAGAAATGACAGAAATACTGGAACTAGTAGATAAGAACTTACGCAAACACTACTCATAAGTAAGCTGGAGTAGCTATATTAATGAGACAAAGGATAAGGTTATTAGGAGGAGTAAAGAACACTTCATAATGACAAAACATTTAATTTATCACAGGAAGATCATGACTCCAAATGTGTGCACATTTGAGATAAGTACAGAATAAGATGCAAAAACTGACAGCCTAAGAGAGTTTAACCAATTCACAAGTATAGTTGGACATTTCAACACCCTTCTGCTTGTAACTGATAGAAAAATGAAACAGAAAATCAGTAAGACTGTACAAGGCCTGGACAACCAAAGTCAAATTTGCTAATAAGCCACAGATTGGGAGGAAATATTTATAATGCCTATGTCTAACAAAGGACTTGTATCCAGAATATTAAAAGAACTCTGACAATTCATTAGCAAGAAGTCAAACAGTCTGATTTTAAAAACAGAGAAAGATTTAAATAGTCACTAACTCATGGCAATAGGCACATGAAAATACCCTCAACATTACTAGTGATCAGATCATGCACATTAAAAGTACGGAGATTCACGTTCCACTATTCAACCACAAGAGTGGCTAAACAAAAAGATCGACAATACCAAGAGTTGGCCAGATTGTGGAGCAACTTGACCTCCCAGATACAGACTGTGGGATGGAAAATATATATGGAAATTTTGAATAAAGTTCAATATTCCCTATCTATAACATCAGGAATTGAAAAGAGTAATTAAAATTTATGTTCACATATGACTTGCACCAGAATATTCATAGCAGCTTTATTTATAATAGCGCAGCTCTGGAAACAAACCAACAATTTATCAACAGATAAGTGGATAAAATGAATTATAGTGCATCCATTGAATGGACTGCAATTTAGCAAGAAAAATAAATGGATTATTGATAGAGGCATCAATGTCGCTGGTGCTCAGAAATATGCAGGACAGAGGCACAACCAAAGACACACTGTATGATTCCAGTTATGACATGCTGAAGGAGGCAGAACTAATCTATACTGACAAAAAGCGAACTAAAGGCTGCCTTGGTTTGGAGTGAGGCAAGGGCAAGATGAACTCCCAAATGGCAAAAGAGGTCTTTTTGGAGTTATAGGAAGGTTCTGTCATGGTGGGGGTGGTGAGGGGTGAAGCCTTTGTCCAAAGTCATTGATCTGTTGCATTTATAGGTGCATAATATGTTTTAACTGTTGACTTTTAAAAAGCAAAAAGCAACAAGGATAAGGCTCTTCATGAGATTATACCTGGCTTAGAAAATGTGATTAAAGCATCTTACAAGTGTTTTTTTAAATTTTATAGTCATATATTTCTTATAGATATCTACTTTCTTCCTGTGAAAAAGAAGCGTATTGATTAAGCCACGCCAATGAGCTGAGTTTAAAATTCTTGACCTAGTTCACAGTATTAGCTATACCACAGAGGCCAGAAACATCTTTTTGAACTTAGAAAAAGAGACAGAAACAGGCACTGGGGAACAGGGCTTCCAGACTGATCCATACACTAGGAACTATAGTAGGAGAGCCAAGCTTTTCTCCAGCTGTCCATGGTGAGAAGAAAAAAACTAGAATATTTCAAGTGTTCTGGCTTATTAACTTTCTGATAAATTTACTAAGATATCTGAAATCAGACTGGCAAATTCCTCCTCATTTTTATAGTAAGCTGTCTTGGATCATTTGGGATACAAGAGGACGCTAGCAAAAAGTGTAGAGGATAAAGAAATATCCTAGCTGTTGCCATTACTGCCGACTTAAATATTCACACTCTGTCTAGCTCACCATGGCCACACTTGTTTTTTACAAGTCAGCATGAAAAAGTAGCCAGGTTCCATTAATCACAATTTCTCCACTTTATATTTCACAATTTTATGTCACATTTCAATGCTAAGATGAATAACATAAGAATACAGATAGTTCTTTTCTCCCCAGGGATACTATTTGATTGAAAATCATTACTTTCCACAAGTGAGTAGCCACATGAAAACTCATTTCATATATCACCTACCTCCAATGATGGCTGAGTTTCTGTTGACTCCATTTCTTATAGCTTGGCCTTGTCCTGGGTTATACGGAAAATCAGCACTGGCTGTAGAGAAAGAAGTGAAGAGTCAAATATATGACCAACCCCAGACAATCTTACAGCTCCTTTTTGCAGAAGGCTTACTGGGCTTCCCCCAAAATAAGACTTAAATAGAAAATAAGCCTTAACTGGTTGTTACTATGGTGATGGCCAGCATCATGCAGATTATACCTTATTATTCTCTTACTTGGGTGGCCACTCTGTAAGGGAAGCTAAGGCCAGGATAGGCTGACTAGAGCTAGCATTTTTGTTTTCGTACTGGGGATTGAACTCAGGACCTTGCACTCACAAGGCGGGTGGCAGAACCACTGAGCTAAATCCCTGGCCCTTGAGCTAGCATTTTTGATCTCTAATGTTCAAGGTTGTTAGTTCTCATTTTTGGGGAAACTCAATAGGTACACACAGTGGCTCACTTGGGGAAATACTGGAGAATCCCAGTGTGACTGCAGCTGACTTGCCTCTGTCCCACCAATAGACAAGTTCACTTTTAGAATATCCTGGCCCTTGGCATTTGCCAGGATTGGTTCCAGGCTAGTCCACCTGTTGGACACTGAAGCTGTGGATGCTTGTGTTCTTTTTTTTTTTTTTTTTCATACTGGGGATCGAACTCAGGTCCTTGTGCTTGTGAGGCAGTCGCCAGAACCACTGAGCTAAATGCCCAGCCCTGATGCTTGTGGTCTTTATGTTACCTGGGCACATAGAAGCTTCACATATCCTCCTGCAAATTTACATAATCTCAAGGAATCTGTGGATCCTGTGTAATACCTACTACATTGTAAATGGTATGCAAACAGTCCTTATACAGCATTGCTTAGAGAATAATAAGAGGCAAAACTCTGAACAGAGACAGTTTTTTAAAAAACATTTTCGGGCTGCAGTTGGTTGCACCTGCAGATGCAGGATGTCTGTGGATGGACATGGAAGGCCAATTGTTCCATCACCTTACATTTGGCTCACATCTGCTCCCCATCCACCTTTATCTCACTCCCAGTGGGTAGCACTGGGTATGTCTGCAAGACAGCTTTGTACAGGGGCAGCATTGCTTAAGAAGTAATTACTTCTTCAAGCAAATATTTTACATGGCTCTAATGAAACACTACACTTCAAGAATCTGTAAGGGGTAAAATTTCATAGACACTGAGAAGAATATGAATGGCCTAAAAAACTTTCTCTTTCTTTCTTTCTTTTTTTTAGTACTGGGGATTGAACTCAGGACCTTGTACTTGTGAGGCAGGCGGCAGAACCACTGAGCTATATCCTCCAGCCTATTTCTTTCCCTATTATTAAAACCAAGAATCACTTGTGTTAAATTTATATGTTTCTCTAGGGCACCACAAATTTCATGCACACCGAGTGTACAGGTGCTGATGTCTTTATGTTGGTTAGCAGAGCTTTTATTATAATCGACACAAGCAAATGCAAAGGCTACTTTGCACCTCTGAGACTTCAGTTTGAGAAGTGATGGTAAATCTTTCTGGGAGCAGCTTCTTAGTACAAAGCAGACCCCTGGCTGCTGGATGATGCCAATTCATTGTGCAAAATACTTTAAAAGTAGAGACCTGGTATAATTAAAGGTGTATACACCAAGAAAATAGTTTGTTACGATTCAGGGAAAATCACCAAAGACTCATTTTTCTAGGATGAATTTATTCCTAGCTATAGACCACCAGGTAACTCTAGGACAATGATAAAAGTGAGTAGAACCCTTTCTCCTCCTGTTCACCTAGAAATCTAGCAACTCTCTGTCATCCCAGTACTTTGGGAGTCTGAGGCAGAACAATCACAAATTCGAGTTCAGCCTTGGCAACTTAATGACTTAGCAAGTCTCTGTCTCCAACAAGGGAAGGGGCTGGGCATGTAGCCCAGAAGCCCTGGGTTCACTCAGCAGTACGGAGGGGTGGGGGAAGAAAGAAAAAAAAAAGAGGGTGCTACCAAAAAGGGAGATTTCAGATTCTACCAGCACTTGCAGTTTAACTCTTTCTCTTTTACACTTGATTTTCATACTTAGGGCCAGAGGAATTATTCTTCCCTAGTTGCATAAATGCTAAATTATTTCAATCATTACTATCTTTCAGACTTTAAGACTGCTTAGCACCACAGATGCTAAGAAATGGTGCAAATGAAAGGAAATTTAACTCAGATTCCTTAGGACCTTCCATAGTTTCCCAAATCTTTAATTAGTCAATGCAAAAAGAGACTTTTGGTGTTATTCATTTGTTTTCATTGGTCCAACTCTAAACCTGGGTGGTTGGGAAACACTAAAGTACAGTCTGGTTAGCTACTCTCCCCTTAGCTCACTCTCTTATTCCCCTTTGGGATTTTGTGGGCTAGACAGCATGGCTATATACACATTCAAAATTCCAAATGTCAGCCCAGGAAGGCAAAGCTCTTTCATTTACAGGCTTACTGCCTGCTATTAAACTGGTCACATATTTATGCTATGTGAATATAACTGGTTTGCATAAAAACGTAATAGGAAGAAAACTCGGCTTTCTTCTTTAAACCCGAGTCTTCCCTCTAGAGAAGTGTTATTTAATAGCTATGATACATTCTTTCACTTTGAGGAATAGCTACTTCATGTCAGACCCTACTCTAACTAGACAGGATGAGCAATAAAATAGGCAAAAAGTTGTATTACCAGGAATTTTCCTGGTCCCACGTGACTTGTTCATTGCATGCACTGTGGAAGAGTTTGGTTTATGTAGTGAGAGTCACTAATTGGGGGTGGTGTGAATTAAGAATTTTCTCCAGTCACAGAACATTGCATGAAATACTTCGTGGCTTCCACACTGTAAATCATATGACTCACACAACCACGAGGCAGTAAGATTTACTTAGTAGTGCATATAATTTCCTGGCTCTAGACACCCTTCAAACACTCAGAGCTGCTTTTCAAGGATGAAAGCTTGCACCCTCCCTGCGCTTCTCTATTGCATTTTTCAGGCTTTTTGATGTTGTAAATAATCTTCTCTGATCATTGTTTAGTCCATGTCCTTCTAAAAACTTATCAAACCTATAAGTAGCTTGGTTGGATAAAAACAGGAAGAGATAATTCCAAAGTCAGTGATCTTCCTGGCTTGAGGGCTAGGAAGAGACTGGTGTTGAGGAGATCTCAGCTTTCAGACAGTTTAGCTCATGTGGAGCTCATAGGAGAAGAGCCCTTCTGGGGAATGGGGAGAAAAATTTGTTTTGTTTTGGCCACACTGAGTTGTCTATCCAAAGGACATCTGAATACTTTGTGTGTGGGTCTTATTTCTCATCTCTTTTTGATAAACATAGAAAGCTCTTGACCTTCTTTAAATAATATGAACCTACAAACAGATGAAGTATGGCAGCAAAACATCACTGTGGTGGTTTTCTTATTATTCAACTGTGTGATACTCATAATCCTAGCATGTGTTCCTTTTCTGTCGCAGGTGATATGGCCAGGGGACCACAGCATGATTTCCCTCTACTCCGAAGCCTGCTTTCAGGTATGGTATCCTTGGCCACAAAACTTCAGGAAAACACTGATACTTATGTACACTGAGGGCCTCTACCCAGGTCCTTTTAGTTATAAGGTAGTAGAAGAAGTGACCAGAAGTGACAGGAGGAGGATGGCCGGAGCCAGAGGAGAACGTTAGGATGGATGCTTTTGGTTTGCATCCAGACTCCTTGGCATGGGGAAGGAGGCCTCCCTGGGCTGAATTTCTCTCCTGTCTTTTCCCTCTTGGGACCACTTTTTCACAACTTCATGATGCTTCCAGCTAACACATCTTTGCTCTCCATCCAGACAACTCGCTTACCTTTCCCTGTCCATCAGATCTTACCTCTTTGCTGAAGACATCAGCCAGTCTTTTAATTAAGTGGTTAGCCTCTCTTCAATGGGTATAGTCTTACTTATTGTTTCTTTCATGGTAGCTGTCGTCTTAAAGCCAGGGGCCAACCTTAATTCTATTTGAGTTCCAGACATTAATAGTACAGTAGAAAGGGTGAAATAGATATTCATTGACTAGTCTAATTAAAATCAGTTTATTTAGGGTTGCGTAAACATTTATGAAGCCTCTTTAATAACAGTCTTCCATAATTTTATCTGGTATAATTTTATTTTTAAAATTTTATTTATTTATTATTTTTTTCCCTCAAGTTTATTGGTACATTTAAGGTATACAGTACTGTTATATTCATTATTGGGATCTTGTACTTTTACATGACAGGTCTTGGTTCTCATTTTTTTCCCCTTGTCCCTGCCCTCCCTTTACCCCTCCCCATCTGCCCCTTTACAAACACTTCATTTCCATTTTTTCATTTTCTCATATTTATCTGACATAATTTTAAAAGTCAGCTACGCACTCTCAACTAAAACCTCAAAGCAAGACAGGATTCTTATTCTTTCCAACACAGGAAAGGAACACATTAAATATAGAAAATAATTTTCATAATTCTTTGTCCCCTGTACTTTGGATATTGTTAGAAGACCATTAGTGGTAAATCCTCAGGTCAACAGGAACACTTATGAAATCCAAGGGCAGGATTTTTTTTTTCATGAACAACCTTGTTTTCATAGCTTTATTTTATAACATACACTTGGTTGTCTTAATGCATGCGAATGCTTTCTCCCTTGAGGCAAAGCTATTTTATTCTGGCAATCAGAGCAATTTCTATTTTAATAGATATATTTCATTGTAGCTGTCCTTTCCCCTGGGCACCAACATCCTCTTGGAAATTCATGTAGAGAATATGGTGACAAAGAAACGAGGCTGAGACATGGATGGCCGAGCTCCCTCATGACACTTGTCTATTGTTCTGGTAATACCCATGTGCCCCAAAACAGATTTTTGGGAGAGATGAACAGTTTTAGGGGTCTTAGACTGGCAAGGAATCTATATATTCAGAAATATTGTGAGTAGGTCCAAACTTGGGGTGTTAATTCAAAATAGGATAGATAGATAATATTAACAAATCTCAAACCAACACTTGCATCAGATAAGCACAGACTACATGCATTACACATTTCTTCTGGTCCC